CAGGAGTGCTTATTCTCCTTTTCTAGAAGTACAGCTTAATACTCCACTAGGACTGTATGATTTGTATCCGACAAATGCATGCATGAAGTTAACATTCTGTAGAACGAGAAATATAAACACAGTTATAAGAAAACACTGCTCACTGATTTATGGCATGGTGCTGCTGTATGGCGATTACTTCGCCAGCATCTCAGTCACCGAGAAGTCTGTTCGAGTGTGCAAAGTGTTGCAACAATGTTAGCGTTTCCATCATATCACTGGTGCAAGCGCAAACATAATTAATGGGATAAGGTGCATGACTACAGGGTACATTCAGGGGTGGGTATATGTTATGGACTGCTTTAGGGGTTAGCTTTAGCCATAGGTTTAAACACTGAGTTAGATTCATGTTAAGGTAAACCAGTTATTTTGTGTAAAAGCTTTAGGCCTGGAACATTTTCCAGTGTAACCACCCAGTTATTTTGGGTGCTTTTTATGTGTTGTGTTAAACATTCCTACACCTTAGAATACTACACTTCATTTTTTACTTTAGCACTGGACACTTTAATTATTACTGAAATCAAGTGTTGGCATATAGAAGATTTTTTGCACATGTATTTGGGATATTTGAAGATTTGATGCACTGGGCACTTTAATTTATTTGTTCATTAATTTTAGCACTTTTTGTATATTAAGCACTAGACACTTTATACATTGGTTTGTGAAATTCATGGTTTTTATTCATCCAATTTTGGATGATTTTCTATTTGCTATATTAGTTTTCTATGATGTGATCCAATATGAATTTTACATTAATTAATATTTATTGCACTTTGTTTACTGTGGTGACAGTGCTGTCTTTTTTCCATTTAACTAATTTTTCAATCACTAAATCATGTATTTAAATTAGAATATACTTGCCTCTTGGGCTAGTTAATATTCATAACATCCTCAGTAGAGACAAATAATGCTTGGACATACAGTTAGGCTATGTACATCCAAATTGGAGGAAGGGTTTAAGAATTACAGCTCTTAAGAGTAGCCACCCCCCCTTTTTAAAGGGACCAAAAGTAATTGGACAGTTGAATCAAAAGCTGTTTCATGGCCAGGTGTGGCCTACTCCTTCGTTATTTCTTCATCAATTAAGCAGGTAAATGGTCTGGAGTTGATTCTAAGTGTGGTATTTGCATTTGGAATCTATTGCTGTGAACCTACATCATGCGTTCAAAGGAGCTGTCCATGCAAGTGAAACAGGCCATTGTAAGGGTTCAAAAACAAAACAAATCCATCAAAGAGAGAGCAGCAACATAAGAGTGGCCAAATCAACAGTTTGGTATATTCTGAGGAAAGAAGAACGCACTAGTGAGCTCAGCAACATAAAAAGGCATGGACGTCCAAGTAAGACAACAGTGGTGGATGATCGCAGGATCCTTTCTACGGTAAAGAAAAAAAAGAACCTATTCACAACAACCAGACAAGTGAAGGACACTCTCCAGGAGGTGGAGTATCATTGTGTAAAGTCTACAATCAAGAGAAGACTTCACGAGAGCAAATACAGAGGGTTCACCACAATGTGAAAACCATTCATAAGCCTTAAGAATAGAAAAGCCAGATTAGCCAGTTCTGGAAAAGCATTCTTTGGACAGATGACGCTAAGATTAATCTTTAGCAGAATGACAGGAAGAAAAAAGTGTAGAGAAGGCTTAGAACAGCTCACGATCCAAAGCACACATCGTCATCTGTAAAACATGGTGGAGGCATTGTGATGGCATGGGCATGCATGGCTTCCAGTGGCACTGGGTCATTGGTGTTTATTGATGATGTGACAGAAGACAGAAGCAGCCAGATGAATTCTTCAGTGTTTAGAAATATACCATCAGCCCAGATTCAGCCAAATGCAGCTTGGACGGCGCTTCACTGTACAGATGGACAATGATCCAAAACACACTGCAAAAGCAACCCAGGAGCTTTTGAAGGAAAAGAAGTGGAATATTCTGCAACGGCTGAGTCAATCACCTGATCTCAGCCCAATTGAGGATACATTTCACTTGCTGAAGGCAAAACTAAATGTACAAAGAACAACTGAAGACAGCTGCAGCTAGAGCCTGGCAAAGCGTCATAAAGGAGGAAACCCAGTCTTTGGTAATGTCCATGAGTTCCAGACTTCAGGCAGTCATTACCAGTAAAGGATTCTCAACAAAATATTAAAAATGAACATTTTATGCATGATTATATTCAATTGTCCAGTTACTTTTGGTCCCTTGAAAAAGGGGAGATGGATACTCTTAAAGAGTTGTAATTCCTAAACCCTTCCTCCAATTTGGATGTACATAGCCTCAAAAACCTGAGAGTGTGCACTTTCAGCCCAAATCCATTATATAACTATAGCTTGAATATGTTTTGGTAAATACCTGAAAAAAAAACTAAAATTGTGCCTGTGTCCAAATATCTATGGACCTAACTGTATAACATCAGATACACTTAGCATCTCTCTGACCAGTGTTTATGGTCCCCTTCTATCACTGCTCTATAGGGTCTTCATTTCTTTCGGCTGACAACCTGTCTTTCATTGACACTATGACTTTTAGCATTCTGTTTGCTGCAGTCAGACTCCTTGTAGGTGTTGTAGTTTTGGCTTCCAATGTAGGGCTTTCTTTACCCAGATTGCAAACTTAACAGACCTCAAAGCTATTGCTGCTGCACCTAAAAAATTAGGTATCACACTAAAATGTGATGTTACTCTAAGCGTGTTGCTTACAAGGTGTGTGTAAAAAAAAAAAGCTAAATGAGGGGTACAGTTTACTAAAAACTAGCAACTGTCACTCTGTTCATAAAAAGGGTTCATTTAGGCCTAATGGTTTTGGGCCTCCTGACCAATCTAAATATACATTAGCTGAGCAAGTATTAATTGGTTATGGGTGCCATTATCTCTAGTCTAACTAGCAAAGTTCCATACAAGTGAATGAACTGGAGGAAATAAAGCGAAGAATAGGAAAGCCTAGTCACATGACCTGCCAAAGTGATGTAACCAATCTCTCCATCAATCAGTGTGTTCTTTGCACCGTATGCAGAGTACACTCCATAGGACATTGCAGGCTCCACACCACAACCTTCATTTTATGAATACAGTATGCAGCAGAAAGTGGACCATGCTTTTCAATGTCTGCAATAAATGAGGGCCCTAGTGAGGGGAAGAGGAACTGCAGAGAAAACAGTGAAGACACTTGCAATAGAGCTACCAGAGACGTTACTGCCTACAAAGTGAACAGAGCAGCAAAAATACAGAAACTGGGGAAAAAGGAACACCACAAGGGAGTGATTACTGTTGTATGGACAACTCTTAAGGAAAAATGTGTTGAGGGGATGTAGAAATTGATGAGAAAAGAGTGCCTCTACCAGGCTGTGGGCATTATTGAGTGAACAGCAAACTGGGGTTGATTTACTAAAAACGAGTGCAAAAAATTCAGCAGCTCTGCATAGAAACCAATCAGCTTCCAGGTTTTATTGTCAAAGCTCAACTGAACAAGCTGAACTTAAAAGCAGAATGGCTAATATGCACACCTGAACTAGATCTTGCACTCTCCAGTTTTTTAGTAAATCTACCCCAATGCATATGCTGGGGACAGTGCTGCAGGGCAAAATTGAAAAGGAAACCAAGCAGAAGCCCATGTGTTTAGTTACAACCTCTCTTTATAGCATACAGGATATAGCTTCCATGAATGAAAAGCAGTCTATGAATGGAGAAAGTGGAGCTTTTTCAACTGCCCGTCTTCCATTCATAGATAGCTTTTCATTCATGGAAGCTTCTATGAATGAAGGAAGGGTGACAAAAAAGGGGAGGGGGGATAGTCAGCACTCTAGGTGAGTGTCTGTAAGAAGTCTATTGAATCTTTTTTTTTTAGAATTATGTTTTTATTGGGATTTTAAACAAAGAAAAACTGACAACACCGCAGTTATACAGGACATATGTAAAGTGATTGTAACAATGTGATACAATAAAAAATATCCAGATACCAGACAAAATGAATTACATGAGTCTAAGAACCTTATTAGAAATAAAAATAAAAAAACAGACAGAGAAAAGAGATAAGTGGACTTATTGATGAAATAATTGAGTACAAATATAGTGTCAAAGGAAAACAACGGAATAGCTGTTGAAATCAGGATGTCAGAGTGAACGAATGAGAGGTGGGTGAATGAAAGGTGGAAAGATCCCATGGTTCCCAAACAGTTTCAAATAGAGGGATAAGGTTATCATGAAGAGCAGTCAAATATTCCATTATTCTAACCTCACCAATGATTTTTATCAATTCCATCAGGAAGGGAAGTGTAGTGGATAACCAATGCATGGATATGGTTCTCCTGGCTGCTGTTAAGACATGAGAGGACAACTTCTTGGCTGGAATGGAAAGGACTGCAAAAGGTAGGCCTAGAAAAGACTGAAGAGGGTCAAATGGAATGGAGACCTTCAAAAGAAGTTGTAAAAGATCTAGGACTTCCTTCCAAAAGGGAACAATGAGTGTGCATAGCCAGAAAATGTGAAAGAGGGATCTAATTTCCCTCTCACATTGCCAGCAGACAGGAGAAATAACTGGGTTACGAGCATGAAGAACTTAAAAGATTTGAATGTTTTGGTATAAAACCCCAGAAGTATTTTCCCTGAACACCACACATCTAGAAGACCTGGACACGGCCTTCCAAATCTTACTCCAATGTTCCAAAGGGATAGTACACTGAAGGGCCTCTCTTGGCTCTTTTGACTCCTGCAGCACAGAAAGATTGCAGCTGTGGGGTTTGGGAATGAGCTGGCACCAGCACAAGGAACTGTCAATTGTGCTGATTTTTTTTAAGCTTTACCTAAACTTAAGCTTTAATGTTTATTTAACAGTCTTTACAGCTCCTTGCAGTAAACCACCACCTTGTTCTTCAGTTAGATCCAAGTTTATATTAACAAGAAAAATAGAGACGTTCCGCAGCAGAGCATCTTTTAAAATGGGTCACGTTTAAGGGTCTGCACTTACCATCCTCTCCTCTCTGCCAGCCCTCTCCACAATGAGTCTGTCCTGACCATCCTCTCTATGAGCTTCTTCCACAACATGCCATCTGAGGTCACTCGGTACCACTCCTTGCACACCAGCTCTGCTGAACACAGTGATCTTGCATCCAGGTAGGACAAAATATTTTCCGCTATGTGATCCAGTCCACGTGCTGGAAAAGCAGCGTTAATAAAATGAGGCATGTATAAGACAAAGAGGACTAAAGCATTCTAGAACTGTTTTCTCATTCTTGTTCCTGCAGACACTAATAATTTACAGGGAAACATCCAAAGTTTACTCCTATAAAATTCCTGTAAAGTTTTTCCTGTAAGAAATGAACCAAATTTTTTCACAAAATCAAAAACAAACAGTGAGAATTCAGATGTTTCAGGCTTGTCACATTAAGGAAACATCTACATACGTCTAAGTGCTGTGAAGAACCCTTGCATTTATCACATATATAGTTTATGGATCTTTAACTGCATTAGCTGTGAATCTGTTAGTTAGGTCAGTTGATTTCTGAGAAAGTAAGGGGTAAAAAAAAAAAAAAATACGAATTTCCACAGATATTACCAAAATTACGTAACAAGAGATACTGTGTATTATTCAGACAGTAGCCAGAAAGCCCTTGGTTTCAAGTATAGCCATGTGGGACTCAAGAGATGTTGCTAAGACTAAGCTTAAAAACAGAAGTATGGGATTTTTTTTTTTTTTTTTTTTTTAATCATACTTACCCAAGTGGATGCAGCATCGGCCCATTGCTCCAACTAACCCCTGCCGGCTCTAAGTGTGAGAACTCAGCGATCACATGACCACTGAGTTCGCACAGCCGCTCAGAGCAGTGAGTTTCAGACACCGCTGTCTGCTCTATTATTATTATACAGGATTTATATAGCGCCCTACAGTTTGCGCAGTGCTTTACAATATAAAGGAAGACAGTACAATTACAATACATTTCAATACAGAAGGAATAGGGGGGCCCTGCTCATGGAGCTAGTGGAGTGCTGGGCTATGGAGGGGGAGTGAGCTGCTGGCTCGGCTTTTAGAGCCTTGCTGAGAGGTTGAGCCAGGTGTCGCTCCAGACTCTGGGGTGGATCCTGTCTTTAAAGTGAGCATCATGGGTCGCAGGAGTGCAGAATGAACTGCACTCCTGTGATCCACAGGAGTAAAGCCAATAGAGCTTCGGCTGTACTTCTCCTTTAAGGTCTCATTTACACTTCCTTCAACTTCAACACACATTAAAGCACCCACCGCTTCAACATGCTTTTTTGCTGTGTTTTGATGCTTCGGTGATGCTTTTTTGAAACTTTAATGAAGCCTGGCAGATGCAAACACAACAAGTGAAAAGGACTGTAAGCTATGCATTTTATTTAATGACAAGGGCTTTGATTGGCATTCAGAGTGCTATAAAAAAGCGTATCCAATGCCACACTTTGAAGCAAGTGTAAACAAACCCTAAATATCACAAAAATCGCCTCTAGAAAGAAGAAATAAGAAAGTACAGCAAATTACAGTGCAGACTTGTTATCCAGAGTATACGTTCCAGGGCTGTCATCTATGGCTAAAATAAATCAATAAAAATCCTGCTTGCTAAATCTTCGATGCACTTTCATCAACGCACGCTACATAGAGTTCAATGGTGATGCATGTTAAACACTCCTAAAATGCACTACACCTAAGCTGCAAAGGTGTGAAAAGGACCTTACTACTCGATATGCAACTAACCTGAAATAAGAGCAGGACCTCTAAATATTTCATACATCACTGACTGCAAGTCTGTTTAATGTCACTGACTTAGCTAGGTAGGTATGGTAAGAATTAGTGTTCAAGAGCACAGAACTTTAAAAACAAGTCAGCAGTGGATTCTTCAACATTTCTATCCTGATTTTAAAGAGTCACCTTGTCCACTTGGGACAAATTAAAAATGTCTCTTTAAAGACCAGCCGCCAATCAGTTACGATTACCATCTCAGCACTTCTGTACCACTCCTTCCTCCAAATCAGACACTGTAGATAAATCTACACCTGGGGATGGGGGGTTGGGGACATGCAACGTTCTCCCATGATGCAGTACTTAGGACTAATAGCCAATAACTACACCAGAACAAAGTCACATTATGGAGGACATGATGTTACTTCTCCTTGTAAATTCCAACACCTGAAATTTGCAGCAGCTGTGACAAAAGAAGGAACGTCAGGGAAGCAATGAGAAATTAAAGTGGAGCTCCAGTCCCCCTAATAAATTTTTAGTAAAATCAGATCCACGATGACCTTTCAAATAGCATTAACAATTGGAATGATTCAATAGCAAAACTTAGTAATTATTACAAATTTTATTATTATTATTATTATTAGTAACTATTAAAAATGTACCATGATCTCGGAAGCAGGCAGGCACCATGGTGGCTATGGGTATCTGAAGCCCGCAGGTATTTATTTCCAGGAATCGTTGCTGCTGGCTATCCCAGCATGCACCACTTGTTCTCTCGCCTGCTCAGTACAAACACTGTTCGGCGTGATATACACACTATGCAATTCCAAGGTAGAACGCAGCAGGATACAGCATCCATGTCTTCCTGTAATCTGGACTCTGGTAAAATGGCGCGAAACACCTCCCATTCGCATCATTTCCGGTTTCCAAGTCCCACGATTACAAGAAACCAAAGGACTCCTGGGATACAGGAAACATCCCAGGAGACCTTGCAAATCGCCTTACGACGTCATCGCTTATGACGTCATCGTCTAGGCGACCGGGAATGGAACTGGATGCTTGCAGTGGATTTAAAAGTATGTAAATTAAACAAAAAAAAAAAAATATCCAACTTGTTCTTTATTTCACAGGGACAACATAATCAGGTAACGTATGAAAAATGGGCAGAACTCCACTTTAAGTATAACTGGGTTGGGAAGGTGGGAGGGGGTTTAATATTGCAGGAAAAATAATGTGCCAAGCATTGCCCCTGCAATCAGTGGCTTGTGGGTGTAATGTCAGGCTCCTGTAGACACATCTTCCAGCTTTCTGGCCATACCTTCATGGGGGGGCTTTCATTTAGAAAGTTGGGGAAGTGTCAGTGGACTATGAGTGCATTAATCAACGCATTTACAGTCCATTAAAAGTACAAGTCAGTCTGCTGCTCTGAGTTTAAGTGTGACAGCGGCTACAGGAGGAGAAGAACCGCATTCGGTCATGGAGGGGAGCAGGTGGTAAGGTGGGGGGGGGGGGGGTGCTTCTGAACAGGTTACTGAAACATATTCCAAAAAGTGAACTTAGCCTTTGAAAAACAAAAGTAGTATTTGCGAGCTGGGCCCATGACATCCACATCCGAGAAGAAAAAAAAACAAAGAAAAAAAACAAAGAAAACCTTTAAATCACCATTTCATCTCTCACACCTGTGCCCTCTATGAACAAGAGGGACTTTAACAATTCTCTTATGGGCCTGTTCAGCAATGATTTTGTCATTATCTAAGACAATGAAGTAATAAAAAAAAAAAGATATATGTAAGACAAGCATGGCTTTCTTTTGGTGAGGTCTTGCAAAAATGATCTTATTTTTTATGTAATCCATAGACAAAAAAATAAAAACAATTAAAAAAAAAAATACTTTTTTCTACTTTAATCAGTGTGAATTAAAAACTGTGTTACTAAAGTCAAAACAAAAAAAAAAAAATCAAAGAAAACCTTTAATTCACCAGTTCACCTCTCACACCTGTGCCCTCTAAACAAGAACGACTTTACAATTCTCTTATGGGCCTGTTCAGCAATAATTTTTTCATTATCTACAGACAATGAAGTAATAAATAAAAAAAGAAATATATATGTAAGACAAGCATGGCTTTCTTTTGCAAAAATGATATTTTTTATGCAATCCATAGACAAAAAATTAAAATGAAAAAAATGAAAAAAAAAAAAAATATTTTTCTGGTTAAATCAGTGTTAATTAAAAAACAGTGTTACTAAAGTCAAAACAAAAAAAAAAAAAACAAAGAAAACCTTTAATACACCATTTCAACTCTCACACCTGTGCCCTCTATGGACAAGAATGACTTTTAGGGCTCGTTCACACTAGGCTGTTTTGCCAACGCTTGCCAAACGCCCCTATAGCGTTTGGCAAGCGTTGGTCCGGTGTTTGCGGAGCGTTTTTAACGCAAGGCAAACGCTCTGCAAATGCCGCATGCGCGGTTTAGCGGCGGTTGCTAGGCGTTTGCCGAGCGTTAATAACGCCCCACAAACGCCTATAAGGCTACGTTCACACTAGCCTTGTGTGCAGGCGGCAGAGAGGCGTTTGGGAAGCGTTTTTACCGCTTCCCAAACGCCTCTGCCAATTCTGCACATTACAGCACATGGTGCTGTTCTAACAGGAGCGTTTGCGTCGCGCCGCGTTGCGTCGCGGCAAAACGGACGCCTCTGGTCGAGTCAGGAGGCTTTGAAGCCTCCTATTCTCGTCTATGGTGCCGCTCCGCAAACGCCCGGCCGGCGTTTGCGGTGCGGTTGCGACGCGGTTGCGGGGTGTGTTTGCGGAGCGGTAACACCACTCAAATGCATTATAGGCGTTTTGTGGGGCGTTATTAACGCTCGGCAAACGCCTAGCAACCGCCGCTAAACCGCGCATGCGGCGTTTTTGCCGAGCGTTAAAAAAACGCTCCGCAAACACCGGACCAACGCTTGCCAAACGCTATAGGGGCGTTTGGCAAGCGTTGGCAAAACAGCCAAGTGTGAACGAGCCCTAATGCATTTGAGTGGTGTTACCGCTCCGCAAACACCCCGCAACCGCGTCGCAACCGCACTGCAAAAGCCGGCCGGGCGTTTGCGGAGCGGCACCATAGACGAGAATAGGAGGCTTCAAAGCCTCCTGACTCGACCAGAGGCGTCCGTTTTGCCGCAACGCAACGCGACGCAAACGCTCCTGTTAGAACAGCACCATGTGCTGTAATGTGCAGAATTGGCAGAGGCGTTTGGGAAGCGGTAAAAAAACGCTTCCCAAACGCCTCTCTGCCGCCTGCACACAAGGCTAGTATGAAACGTAGCCTAACAATTCTACTTTAATCAGTGTTAATTAAAGTAGAAGGTTTGCAAATATTAAAGATTCTAACTACCAGCAAGAATGAGTCGGATTCCTTACATTTAAAGAACACCTGTCATTTTAGATCCATCATGGCGGTGCCCGTTAGCGAG